GAATGTACGGTTCTTTTTCAAGATGAGTGGAAATTGCTGCCGTGGTTAGCCATGCATGTTACGCGAGTACATGTAGGATTTGTAGGCGTAAACAAAATACAGTCCTACATAAATTCACTTCTTTTATATCTCAAGAAGTAGAAGGTCGTAAGGTTGTGTTTACACCTATAGCGTAGCGCTATCATCGTGTACACAGAATCAAATTATTTTATTGACTGCGATTTTAAAGTTAAAATAAATTGTAAAACACTTGCAATGTACGAAGTACGCTGCTTGCATTGTTTGCTTGGCTGTGAAAATAAATCTTCCTTTGTTACGAGAAGTACTAAGTGATAAATTAGGCATTGAAGATGAAGTTGTTGACTGTGTTGTGTGCACGACTGTTATTAATAATATTGCTTTTAACGCATTACGGCGATATAGCATTGCCATTCAACGGCGTTCGAAAAATACTAACAATGAACATTTTTGTAACAAAGTTGTTATATAAATGTAGCCCATATACTCTTTCAGTTAGCTGGAGCATTACCTCCAGAGGATATTAACACTACTGGCATAGTTCTTCCTAAAAACATTATTTTGACGGATCCTAATTTTAATCAGCCTTCCCAAATTGATTTATCGTTGGGAGCGGATGTTTTTTAGGATGTGATAGGTAGTGAAAACATAAGCCTCGGTATACAAAAACCTACATTACAAAATTAAAGATTTGGGTGGTTAATGGTAGGTACCACCATGCTATCTAATGTTAAAACTTCAAAGAGCTATTTACATTGCGATTTCAGCAGAGAAATTCGTGAACAGCTAAACAATTTTTGAATGCTGGAGGAAGTACCAGCGGCACCAGTGCTATCCTTAAAGCTGGAGTCGTATGAACAAAACTTCGTGTAGCACACGCGACGGCCAGCTGATGGTAGATTTTGCGATACATTGCCATTAAACCATGGAACTTAGCGCCTTGTCGATTCATACGGTACGGTTAAAAAGTGATTTTATTCCTTAGAGGAGCGCTTTTAGCGACAACCTTACTTAAAAAAATCAATACGTGTAACAATATGTGTATCAGAACATGTAATATCTAAAAATGCTAATTTTTACCCCATCTTCCTGTTGCAAAAGAGCGGAGTGAATCGACAAAATGTCGGCTTGTATTGGCCAAATGTAGTTCAGGTTACTCGTTAATTTAAATTATACTACTGACTTATTGGAACATTTTTTTATTTGAGAGTCAAAATTCAATGTACTATAACATAAAAACCTGCCTAAGTGTGTGTCCGACCACGCACAATGTAGAGGTAGGGTTTCGTAGTTGCCCGTTACAATACGTGGGTTTATAACGACTAAAAATGGGCCCAAATAGGTAGATCGTAACTGAAAGACTTATTTCCAAATCAGACTTAAAGGGTGGTATTAAAAAATATTAAAAACTTTTCGATTTTGATATCCACAGCAATCACTTACCATCAGGTGAACCTGTGTGCTCGCTTGTCACCCTTATCCGCTTAAAAAATAAATCTGCTGAAGACTGTGGCTTCCTTTCCCGTCTAACAGCCATGAGATTAAGAGAGTATGATCGGAGAGCTTTTGTGTTCTTCTGCGAATGGTCTTGTAGAACTTAGTTCCCACCGCATGGACAGTTTCCACAAGCTTGTCATTCATATGGTCCACTTCATTACAGTCTTCTAGGCACTGAAAATGAGTTTGTAAATCGAGATGAAACTTTTCGGGGCTTTTGATTATAGCACGAGGGGAACGAAGTGTTGACTTCATTACACGTGACCTCCAACTAGTGAAATTCATTTAAAAATCTGTTTATCGGTCATGACATCATTACAACTCAGGAAAACCAGAATATGCGTCCAAGGAATTCAAGCCGTAAATCAGCTTTATACAATGTCATGAGGTTATCGAACTTCAAGATAACGTGTACATTTTTTTTATAAATGATGATAACTAGCTCTTGACCACTGTAAACTAACTGGGTAATACCGTCTTTTTCTGGGTAGCTAAAGTTCTAAGCCTAGTACTTTCATAACCTAATTGAATAACATTACTTTTCTTATCAGTCCATTTATAATTTACTGGTGGATATTGGCTTGGCTTATAATTCATTGAAGGGAGGATTGGCCACAATTGCGAAGCTCTGCAGGCAGATTGGTGAGCATGGCATCAGAAGTTTGTCACCTTCTGCTCTGCTCCCTGTCGTTGGTCTGGATGTTTTACATCTAGTGTATAAGAGAATGGGGGAGTAGCTGGAGGATCTCAGTACTGCGCTTAATGACCTCAAAAGTGTCTCCCAATGGATAGGTCTTCAGATGAACATGGACAAGAGAAATAACATGTGTAACGTTCATCACATTTTACAACGCTACTATACCAGTTTTGTTTCCTTTAAGTTTATTTAATTATCTTCTTGCTGTCAACGGTTCATTATTATTTTCATAGTTAATTATTATTTTTTATAGTTCATTATTATTTTTATGTTGCCATCAGCCTGGCCTGACTAAGTTCAAGAAATTGTTAAACAAAAAATTTAATTGTGGAAACTAGTATTAATTAACTTGCAATCCTTTTTTGTACCCTAGCATAAGTTGGTTTTAATTCAGTGTGCCGTTGTAGTTAGAGAACATTAATTGATTACGTAAGGATGATTTTGGCGATTTTTGAACGCCCCCCCCCCCCCACCTTTTTTGCTCTTTTATATGTCGTTTTTCAGAATAATAAAATTTGGTAGAAGTAGACGCCTAAAAAGACGAAATCATCACCACTGTACATATATTTAAATTTACTTTATGTTGTGAATTTCCATTCTTTTGGGCGTCTTTAAATTTTTCACACAATTTCTAATGACTAAGATGGAATGCCTTGCCAATTAAATGCGTCACCGGTTTTATACACTCACCATACGAAACACAGCAGCGTTGAGTTGCTATTTTACGCTGGTATTCTGTGAGCTTGGTCCTTTCCCGGTAGAGCCGACACTATTCTGATGATATTCCGGACGTCAGTCTGGGCGAGACTAGACTCTCCAGCACCTTAAAACGGCAAGTTCCCGGACGAGAATGGAATTATAGCGGAGCTTCTGAAAGCGGGTGGAAAAGCGAAATTTGTTGCAGTCCCTTCAGCGGTTCCAAGTTGACTGTCGGTATGTCGAAGTGCTGAAGTATTTGTACAGTAGGGCTACGATGGCTATCCGAGTACAAAACCAGAGTACGAAACCTATCGAATTGCAGATAGGTGTAAGACAGGGTGACATTGTATCCCCGAAACTCTTCACCACTGCATTGGAAGACGTTTTCAAGCTACTGGACTGGAAAGGATACGGTATTAACGTAGCACACCATATGACAGAATCGCTGAAGGACCTAAGCACTATGCTCAATGACCTCAATACTGCCTTCCAACGGATAGGTCTTAAGATAAATATGGACAAAACAAAGATCGTATATAATGTCTATGTCACACCTATGCCGGTAGTTATTGGGAGGACTAAGCTCGAAATTGCTGATGAGTATGTTTACCTGAGACAAATAGTCTGATTAGATAAGTTCAACTTCGACCAAGAGGTCAATCGACGGATTCAACTCGGCTGAGCAGCGTTCGGGAAATTACGACACATGCTCGTTAGGTATACCTCAAAACTTGAAAACGAGACTGTACAACCAGTGCGTGTTGCCAGTGATGACATATGTAACTGAACATTACAAACCAAGGTATAGATTTTAAATTTATGTCACTTTATTCACCTCATTTTGGGGGCATTTGGGAGGCAGCAGTAAAGTCAATCAAACATCTTTTACGTCGTACTCTTGGTCTTACTCATCTAACTTATGAAGAACTTTCGACGTGTCTGAGTCAGATAGGGGCCATCTTAAATTCCAGACCTTTGACCCCTCTATCCTCAGATCTTTCTGATCTTGCCTATCTTTCCCCTTCTCACTTCCTGATTGGACGACCACTCACTTCAGTTCCGCATCCTCAAATCGCTAACAGCAACATCGAACGACTTCCACGCTACCAGCGAGTCGAAAAGCTTCGGCAGCATTTCTGGCACTGGTTTTCCAACGAGTACATTACTACCTTACAACAGCGAACGAAGTGGAAGACCGCTGATCAACAGCTGAAGACAGACACCATGGTCTTAGTGAAGGACGTCAATCAACCTCCTCTTCTTTGGCTGATGGGTAGAGTGATCGCCATAAGACCAGGATCGGATGCTCACACCAGAGTTGCTGACATCTTCACCACAAGGGGAACAATCACAAGAGCATTTAATAACATCTGCCCTCTTCCAGTGTCTCCTGCGTCATCTTGAAGCCTTCTTGCTTCAACCCGTTGAATATGTTTCTGACGTCACTGCCTATTCTTCTCCCCTCAAACCGGTTCTGCGGGTGCTTCACGGCACCACCACCTTCATGGACACAACGCGGCACCACAATGACAACGCGCCTTGCTCGGAACAACCCGGTCGCGAACGCGCGCATTACGGCTATCTCTGTTATAGCAACCAATAAATTACCTATACAGTCTTAATATTGAAGTTCTTATTTCAGTCAAGAATTCCACCAGCACAAGTGGAGCTTGATATTCAACAATCGATGATATTTATCTGCTCATACTTCACCGTGGCAGGTGTCCATAGACTGAAGTAGACAAACGAATTTACAGTCTGAAAGTTGGACTGTAAATTCGTTTGTCACTTCAGTTTTATAAAAATATATCAATCATACATTCATTCATCAACGTCACTGTTTGTAATGAAATTAGGTAAGTCAATCCTTTTTTGGTTAAAAATTATTCACCACAAACTTCTTAGCGTTCTTCGTTAAAAAAAATTAAATACATGTACATTGATTTATTTTATGTGATAAAATACATCATCGAAGTTCGCAGAACAGTTATCAACGTTATTTAAATCTAAATTTTTAAGCTTTCTTCTGCGATTCTTGCAAGATTTGATTGTGATCTTCTATCTTCTTTAAATACTTTTTCTATCTTTTCTATGGTTTGATAGTATCTAAAATCCATTTCATATACTTTCTGACATCTGTGTATATGGCTGGGGCATTTAAACCACACTGCCACGGACCGTAAGACACGATACCAAATTGGATATATCTGTCCGTGCCATTGTATTCACCTTCAAGCATGAGGGGACCGCCGGAGTCGCCTTGGCACGAATCTCGACCGGTCTCGCCGGCACATAGTCTATGTCTCAACTTGCCAGTAGGATCAGTTCTTTGATTTCTATAATGTAAAAAGGCTTTATAATTAATCGTTAGTACAATTGACAAAATATGAAATATTAGTAGTTTAAAAATCTTTGACAATACGTATTGATCATGAGCTGTGATGATCCCACTGATAATACTAACTAGGTCATGAAGTTGTTGTAAAGTCATCGGTTTATCATACGTCTGTTTTGTTCTATTTCGGACTATTCAGACGTTCGGAAATGGGTTAGACGAAATTTTATAACTATATTACACTCATAAATACATACATACATAACGAGCGTATGTTCAATTAAATATTAGCAATAATTTGACTCAATCTGACCAAGAATTTGCTGCGGCTTTTGAGAAACATTTCACTGATATTCCTTTTTTGACAACAAAATCTTTAAACTCTTCTCCTATTGCGCTGGAACTAAATGGAAAAGCTCTGTGTTTCTATGTTTAAACTAAATATAAAAGATTATGCAATAAATTAAATTCCGTAGAGTATTTCCAAATCATATCATTAAATATAGATATTATTAAAACAGCAGACTGATGTGGAATTACCATTAAAAATATTATGCCCATAAGAAATACAATTGGACTTTATCTAGTCACTATTTTTGATATAACCGTCGAAGTTAGTATGGGTTACCAAAAATACACAAGCCGATTCACCGACTTACAGATTGGCTCAACACTTAGCGAAAATACTGTCACCCCTCAGGGGTCATAAAAGAGCAAACACAAAGAATTCCTAATATTTTGGCAGCGAGATTTAAGACCTTCATCTAAAAGACAATGACACTATTATCAGTTTCTGCGTGCAGTTTACGTGCTTACCTATAGAAGACTGCATCACAACTGTAACTAGAAGGCTTGAAGAAAACAACATGCCGTATAATATGCCCATTTTTTTGTTGCCCCGACCCGGGACTCGAACCCGGGACCTCATGATGAGCAGTCGCACTGCTACAACCACAAGATCAACGAAGTAGTCAATCAGCAATATGTAATTAGTATATTAATAAGATATCAAATGTATTCACATTTTAGCTTGGAGGCAGACATAGATGAGGGTTTTACCGATTTAAAATGATCATCATCGTACAGCCTATCAAAAATCCTCTGTCCAATTTAGACATTCCTATTTGCTATAGTTGCCACGCTTGCAGGCGTATCGGCGATTTTAGGAAGACTGCTGCCTATATCCTGGTTGGTTGTTCCCTCTGTCGCCTCTTACGAGACATTTAAAAATAGCGACCTACTCCATACAAAATATAAGGCAAAGATCCTTTACGAGAGCTCTTACGCTCAAACAATTTAAAAATATATCGAGCTAAATTTATCGTCACCTGTTATAATAAGCTCCACATGTTTCGGGAGAGAATATGGGTATTTCAACTTTAAGTAGAACATCAGAATTTTGATTATTCTCAGTAGTGCCCCAACCGGCAACTGTAGCTGTTTCACCATATAAATCCATTTCACGTAAGCTTTTCATAACTGGCAGACATATTGTTCCTGCATTTTCTGGAAACAGAATACGTTACACATAAAATATTATAATCTAATCCTAGTAATATTACAAACGTGAAATTTTGTAAGGATGTATGGATGTTTGTTACTCCTACACGCAAAAAGTATTAAATGGATTTTAATGAAACTTTACAATTATATAGCGCATATGTATGTATAATCTATAATTCATAAAGATGTTGTGTCAGTTAGCCAAAATAAAATGATAAGTCAGAAAAAAAACACGACGTCTGTCTGAACACGCATCACGAAAAAACCTGTGAAGTGATTTGTGTGTGTGTGTGTGTGTGTGTGTGTGTGTGTGTGTGTGTGTGTGTGTGTGTGTGTGTTCGTGTGTGTGTGTGAGAGAGAGAGAGTGCGTGTATAGTTTTGGATTTTTAAATTTGTATGATTTCCAGAATTAATAATGATTTACATGATTGCCTGAATTAATAATGATTACAATTACATTTACATATTAGAGGTTAATAGACATTCAGTCGCTGTTTTAAGCCAATTAATTATTTTACTTTTGATTTGCTGGTTTTTGTAGCTTTTACTAATACAAATTTTGTTAAATTTATTGTATAGTAATAGCGCAAGGTAAAATAATTGTCTTTTAGCGTTAATTTGTTTTGCGTTTAATAATTTTTTATTTCTTCTATTAAAGTTTTTAATGTCAAGTTCATTGGGTGCAGAATACCTATGGAATCTTCTGATACATTGGTATATAAATAATTTTCTCACACTAAGTATCTGTGCTTTTTCATACAACAGTGTTGTGGAATGTCTATACGGAAGGAAAAATAACACTTTGAGCGCAATTCGTTGTGCTCTTTCAGCATCTATTAGGTACGTTTTGTCTGCCCCACCCCATGAATTGGTCCCATAAGTAATGACATACTCGTATTAACAAAGCGCATTGAAATTTGTATCAGTAATTTAGAATCTGCCACCTGACGCAATGACTTAGAACATATATGAGTTTCCTTATTCTGTTTGTTATGATTTTGATATGTGAAGTCCACTGTGAATTTCCGTCGACAGTGATCCCTAAATATTTCACAATTTTGGATATGTTGAGTTTTGGATATTCGTAATGTGGTTGTCTATTGCATTTATTTAAGTGTACTTGTAATCCAACATCGCTCAAAGGACTTGAAACACTAGTTTTACTAAAACACATGTATATGGTTTTAGAAGTGTTAAGTGAAAGAAGACTATCTTCTTGCCAATTTGCCACTTCACGTAACTGTCAAGTTTTCAGTCAAGTGTTTGGTTTTTTCCCAGGTACCATCATGGAATAGCATTACTGTGTCATCCGCACACATGGTTATGTCTGCTCGTTCAAGATCTCGTTCAGCTAACCAATTTATATATACTAAAAATAGGGTTGGCCCCAGGGCAGCTCTGTGGGGCACAACATGACCAAGAAAGATCTTGAGTGACATATTTGCATATTTAAAACATAGTTCTACCATGACCGGTCTCAAAGTTATCCATTAATTACCGGGCACTTTTTATATTATATTATGTTATATAACAATATTTTATTACTTTTTTACAAGTATAACTACACAAACTAACCAATCTCGCTAAAAACTTTAGTTGGTAGGAAAGAACGCATTATTAAAAATTGATTTTATACTAGCGATCCGACTTGGCTTCGCCTGGGTTATTTCGGTATCTCGATAACAGCGCCACCTACCGGGTCCAAAAGTAAATCTAAACCATCTAAATGACCCATTCAAACACACAATTCTGTAATCAAAATCGATCGAGCCCTTTTTGAGTTTTAGCGAGACTAACGGATAGCATTTGATTTTTATATACAGGATAATTTTGCAATAACTGGCCAAATTTGCAGAGAAGGTTTAGAATAAGCAATATAAAGACATTTTATCCTTTTTACCTTTTGAATTCAGAATGCGTGGTAATCCATTATTTTTACTGACTGTCATTCACAAATATCTAACGCCTGCTATTTTACTACGCACACACAGAGGAGCACGCGTACGCGTAGTTGTTGCCCATAAATCACATTCAATTTGGGATAATGTCAAATAAAAGTAAAGCCTAATTTACTCGTTTTTTTTAAAAACTGCCATAATGGTTTACCATTATTTATATATTTGGAGTTAGTTTAAAATTTGGCTATTCTGAAAAATAACCCTAAATATTATTAAGTTACTTAAAAACTTACTATAAGTTAAGTCGACGGGTCGACTCAGGCGAAGTAAAGCAATATCGTTCATCGCCATTCCAACGACATCATATTCATCATGACAGATGATTTCTGCAACACGTCTATCCTAAAATAAATAGAAAGAGGAGTTTTAAAATGAATCAAGCTTGCCACATTCAAGATTATGTCCTTGAGGAAGGCCTATGCTCAGCAATAGAGTAGACTTGTGAGGGACTGTAATGACGACGATGATAAAAAAATATTAGAACTTTATTTTTCTTGGTTCATGGATATTTCACGATTGGAGGTTTTTACACGCTTTCTATTAACTTAACCCATTATTGTATGTAATTTTAAGTATTTCTTAACTATTTAACTGCCACTTTCCAAATTAAAAATTATTAATTTTTAATTTTACAGACGATGACAATACAATAATTTTATAACTCACCCAGTACAAAAAGATGATACATCGGGCTGGCTCTAGGATTGTTTAAACGTAGGAGGTTCGCATTCGAATCAATTGTATTGAACTTTAAAACTGCATTTTAAAGTAACTAAGTTCAAAGTTCTCTAAAATCTATTATATTGTAAACAATACAGTTTAAGATAATTCATATTCCATATCGTCCTGTACGTGTCCAAAGAAGTGATTATGAAATATAATGCCAAACTCTCGTTGTCTCTTATAAATAAACACTCTTATAAATGAAGGTATAACCATGATGGTAGAGACATACAGCAGCTATATTACAGTTGGAGTACGAATGGGTCGGGTCAACCGGGGAAGGAGCACGTTCTCCCAGAATACCGGCGTAAAATTGCAGCTGAATGCTGCTGTTTCGTGTGGTGAGTGTAGAGAACCGAAGACCCTTTTTATTGGATACAAGACATTCCATCCTAGTCTTTAGGGATGACAGCGCATCTGCATTTTGATTCTTGTTTAAGAATAGATGAAGATATCTATGGGCCATTGCATTCACTTACCAACAGTTGGATTGTGTGCTCGTTTGTAACTCTCATTCTGTAAAAAAAAATCTTATTTACCATGACCAGCGGTGGACTTTTACGTATAAAAATAAAGGCAATGTTGTTAGATATACAACACTTAGTACACTCTTCTAAGCTGGACACAGGCCTCCTCTCATTTATGTAAGGATGAAGTTCCAATGTGCATTGGTCGAATTCATGTCCTAGAAAAATTTATTTTTCACACAAACACAAACAGGTTTCCTCACGATGTTAACTTTACTACTGATCATGTGGTAAATCAACACCTAAAAATGCAGTTGCCTCGATGAGCTATCACAACCAACAAAGAAATGTATAAGGAAATCCTTTGATTACCTGAATTCTATCTTCACAAACACGAATTTCTCCTTCTCCTGTACAGTCAATACGTGTACTGATATCATATTCCCCAACTCTGACCCCGGCGATGTTCTTGTTCTTGACGCAGTGTGCTGCCGTTAATACATATTTTGAATTTATTAAGGTACCTCCACATGCGAACCTCAATGACCGTCCAACTGAAAATAAAAAGAAATATACGAACTAGCTAAGTGTTAAGTGTATGTAAGCCTTTTACTTTAATATCTTAATTTAAAATTAAATGTCTTAAGCAATTCGCACACAATTTGCACAAGCGCAGCGCACACTCATGCGCACACGCGCACAACACTCGCACCCGCGCACACGTGCACACGAACATGTGCACCCATACACACACACACACACACACACACACACACACACACACACACAAACACACATATGAACGCACTAGCGTACAACCCAAACGCGCACATACCCAGACACGCGCGCGCGAATACACGCACACACGTGCAAGAACTCGCACACGCACACACGCACACTCAAGCACACGACCACACGCTCACGCACACACGCACTCGTACACATGCACACACGCTCACGTACGTGCACACACACACTCACGCACGCACACGCACGCACTCACAAGCACGCACACGTGCACACACGCACACTCACAGAGGCAGACACAGAAACACACAAAGACACACATCACAATCAATCAAGTTGTTTAGGAGCAGAAGAATAAATATTTAAGTATATTATATTGAACCGTGTAGTGGCGGTGTTAACCATGTACACCACCCACGGTGTAAACATATCCACCACTCCATATCGTCCCGTGGGTGTCGTATGAGGAGGCAGAAGGAAATTTAAACAGATGATGGGAGTTCATAGGCTGCAACCTTTCTTTACTTTTATATATTAGTGAATAATAATTATCTTAAAGTTTTTATCATTTGAGGGTCGTGGCGAACGCTTCCCTGTTCCAAAATCCTGTGGAGAAATGAGAGCTAGTCAAAGTACGACTATAGTAAAACTATAAAAATTATCCATTTATTGTTACTTATTTAACTGAATTTGCAATATTTGTTAAAACTTACCTCTGTAAGAGATAAGAACCATCCAAGGAAACTCGTACAGAGAGGCTGTACTTCCACCAAAAATGCGATTTCCTTCAATTTCACCGCAATCTTCCGATAGAAGCTTGACATTGGGATGATCTTCGATATCATCACTATCATCATATTCATTGTTCCTTTGAAGAATAGAGGGCGTTATGTCAAACTCTGAGCAGCAAATCTGTAAGTATAGCAAATCTGAATGTAAAATTTTAAACAACTTAAGACTACATAAAGGAGTAATAATAATATAGTAGCGACATCCTCGTTGGTCTAATGGTCGTAAGCGCGACTGTTGATCAGAGTTCGAATCCTGGGTCAGGCAAAAAAATCGGTTATTGAGTTTTTCACCCCGTGCCTCGAAAAGCACAAAAAGCTGTTGTCGTCCTGCGCCTGATATATCTCCGGCGGTCATATCGGTTTGCCGTGAGAGTGAGGGAATAAAAAATACCCCTGTGCCTGCGTACACTCGGGCACTATAATGCTGTCCTGCGCAGATGGTTACTGTCCGTTGGTACTTGCCACCGTGATCGAAATTCGGCCTAGGAGACATTATATGACTAGTACAAACACTACGTATACCATTTATTGATCTCACTTATGTAAATTCTCTTTCGACACTTTCAATAGGAAGAATAATAATGAATGAGAATCGTAATTGTTCATTGCTTACTAATCATAATAAGTACTAATTAATTTGGTTTGTAATTTCCTTCATATACGTACATACATACACACTCATGCCTGTCATCTAGAGGGGTAGGCAGAGACTACGGACCTACATTTTGCACGATCCTGATACACCTCTCTTTTTTACACCCATATACCTACACATACATGTTCGTCGGTTAAAGGTACTCTTCTTCAATATATCGCCAATTTGGTCATGACCAAATCACCAAAACATTACTTTCTTAATCCTAGTCATAACACCATTTTGCAAACCACACTTTTCTCTTACCACACGGTTTCTCACCCTGTCATTCAAATTCAGCTCTACAATATTCCTTAATGACCCCATATCTATAGCATTTATTTTACTCTCGTGCTCGTTCTGCCATACCCAACTTTTACTACCTACTACTACTATAGAATTGTGAATTGCCATACGTGCTTTTTTGACACATTCTGACTTCCCATAATAAAGTGAAGTTACTCTATTCCCTGCGTTCACTCGTCGTTCTGTATCCTTAGTATATCTACATCTCACAAACTCATCCACTTGCTCAATCAACTTCCCTTTTATACTTATCATACCATCTTACTTGCGTTCACTTTCATTCCCCTCTCTTTTAATGACCTGTTCATAAATTTAGTTCACCTTCGGTAATTTATCATGACCACAATAAGCGTTTCTCACTAGCCTCTTTGTTTCCGGACTTCTGTCGACAAGAACCCGCTGCAACGCGGGCCCACATTGATTTATAGGAATACAGTCATCACACTTTTCTGTAATAAATATTAAATTTTATTACGAGTAGCTTATTAAAATCGATACGATTTTTTTATTGATTTTAAAATAATATTTACGTACATACTTACATAAGTACATAATGTTGGAACACCAAGGGAAAAACTGCCTAGATGTACCACACTACTATACACATATTTCTACCGTCAAAAACCGTGTTCCGGTAGAGCCAGTATAATTCCTGTCTGTGAGATATTCCATCTCAGTCCTCAGAGGTGACAACGTATCTGTAGCCTTATTTGCTTGAGGTTGATTGCAAATGTCCACGGACTGCAGAATTGACGCTTACCAACAAGTCAGTTGTTTTCAGTAAGTTTGTCTTATAAAAAATTTATTTCGAATCTTCATAGTCATCATAATTAAATTGTATCCAGCAATGGACTGTCTGGACAACAGAGGTGGGACGATACTATATTTAGAAATTTAGTTTATATTATTTTAAGGTAAGTGAACATGTAGTGGCGGTGAAAGAATATTCATACCCGGTATCATCCCGTGGGTGTCGGAAGAGGCGACAGAGGAAAACAAACCAGGAGATGTGTTGCAACGTCTTCATAATAACAACTGAAATATTCAAAAATTGCGATTGTCGTCCCGGCTGCCAAGAGTGGCAACTATGGCAAATAACCCTTATCAAGCAGTCTATTGGGAGACCTATGTTCAGTTGATTTTTTTTAATAGAATAAGGTGACAAACGAACACACAGTCCACCTATTGGTAACTGGTTGCTGTGGCCCATAGACGAATCAAAATGCAGCTGCGTTGTCAGCCGTGAGGACTAAGATGGAATGCCTCTTTTCCAGTAAATAAGGTTCTCTACACTCACCATACGAAATACAACACCGTTAACTGCTATTTTACGCTGGTATTCTGTTAGAGCGTGGTCCTTTCTCGGTCGAGCCGACCCATTCGTGCTACGACTATACTACCAATATAGCTGCAGCATGGCAAATTGGCATCATTGTCACAACACAAGTATAATGTATTTTCTTCTACAAATTAATCACTCATACAGTTTTTATTTTCTTTTTATTAACGTTAAATTAGTTTTAAAATATAATATATATTTACGTTAATAAAAATATGAACTCACTTAAAGTACTTGCAGCACTGATATAAAAAACGGCGAAGACCGTCGCAAAAATCAACATTTTACAGGCACGATTTCGGTTTCCTCTTATAACTGATTTTATTTATAACTTGCTGGACAATTTATACTTAACTAGGTTTTCCTCTTATTCCCTCAGATTTTCGACAAAATAAATAGTATTACTAGACTACAAAATAATTAAAAAAAGGACTAGAAATTTCGACAAAAAGTTCGCTTTTCAAAAAAAGAATGTATCAGATTTGTATTATTTCATTTTCTCTTCAAATGAAGGCAATTTTTTATAGAATCTGATTTTTATGTACCTTTGCATTTAGTAGTCGAAAGCGAGCACTATGGTAAAATACAAAAAAAAAAAGCTGAAAATTCACTTAGGATGTTGTTGCAATAATAGGTATTACGTGATTATTGTTTTTTCTTTCTCAAAAGTAATGTCATAGTAACATATACTGCTGACTTGTTAGACCATTTTTTTTTATTTAAGATATAAAATTAAATCTACTTTAACTGTTTTATTGTTACCTTTAAATAGTTTAGACAAAAGCAAAGTAATAAATTCCAACACAGTTTTTTCAGGAAATTATTATAAAAAAGACATTAAAATTATGAGTATAATTATATTACATAATATATAACATTCATATAATCACGCCTCTTTCCCATAGGGGTAGGCAGCGACCACTTCTTTCCACTTGCTACGATCCTTACATACTTGTTTCGCTTCGTCCACTTTCATTATTCCCTTCATCATGCTCTACGGTTTAGGGTACTCTTGACCTGGCCTTTTTTCAAGACGTCTCTGACTTGGTCTAGAAACGTCCGCCTAGGTCTACCCCTTCCAACACTCATTCACACTCGCCTTATACACTTTTTTTCGTCAATCGTTCTTCATTCATTCTCTCGACATGGCCAAACTATCTCAGCATACCTTTCTCAATTTTTGTCACTATATCTTCTTTCAGACCAGACACAAATTCTTTCAGACCAAAAAGAAGAATAATTATATTAAGTTATATTATATTGTAAGATCAGAAAAAAGGAAGTATTAAATACATTTTAGAACTTTGATAGTCATAAGTTTGTTTTGAAATTGATTTGAATAATTTTGATAAAATTAATTAAATTAATACAAGTCCTCTTCATCCGCATTATTGTTTGTTGTTTTTGAAATTTCCACTATGCACATTGCAATAACAAGGATATAAAAATAAATGATAATAGCGTGCGCTCGCTTCACGTTTTTATAAACTCGTAAGATCTATTTGTAAAGCTTTGCTGATTTGAATGAACTGGTAGGATGCTTGTGCAATTCAACCTTCTCCGAATTTTCTTTCGTCCTCTTTGTCTCTTTTTCCTGTCGCCAATTATCAAAATGTAAGTCTTTTTATGTCATCATTCCTCATTTTCTCTCATAGATTGCCTGGCAGGGTGGGATATTTCCCATAGTTGCCACAATTGGGCGACGTTTTGGCAACCGTAACATTTTTTTCTTCAGTGGCCGCGGTTTAGGGTTGACCTTCACGAATTTCATCATGCAAGTAAGCATGGCCACATTCAAATTATGCGCACCATTGCTTTACGATGCTCAGATAAGGTGCTTTCCTTCCAAAATTATTTTGAAGACGAGTAGTGCAATTTTGCAGAGAAAGTGAACTTTTGAAGTCATAAAAAATCATTGCTTTAAAATCTTTTCTCATTTTTTGCGTTAATGCCATTTTTGCTACGGATGACGAACTTCAACTTGCGATTAAAAAAATACACGTGATTTCCCACATAAAACTATTTTAATCCATTTATTTGTCCTGACATTATTACAACTGGGGAAAACCAGAACAAGTGTCAGGGAATTTGTGCTGTAAATCAATTTTAGATTATGTCGTGAGGTTATCGAACTTTGAAATAACAAACGTGCACATTATTTTTTTTTATAGGAGAGGGAGCAAACGGGCATGCGGCTCACCTGATGGTAAGTGACTATCGCCGCCCATGAACAACTGCAACACCAGGGGAACCAGGGGAATTGCAGATGCGTTGCCGGCTTTTTAAAAAGGAGTAGGCTCTTTTCTTGAAGGTCCCTAAGTCGTAGCGGTCCGGAAAAATCGCTGATGGTAAAGATGGTAGTGCACGGCGTTTAGGTTCGAGTGAAGTCCCCTGATGTTGCATAAATTCACGGATAGCGTGGCATGGGTCGCCTTGGTATTGTTTGCCCCGCGCAGTTATGGTTTTGAGCGGAATTCCCCCCCCCCCCCCCCCCCCCCCCAGTATACGCGGGGCAGCCTGAGCACCCACGCTCAGGAGTGGAATAACATGGTCGTGGATGCTCAGCGAGGGATTCTACAGGGGTGCTGGTACCCTCCTTGATTGGGGGGGGGGGGCGGGGGGGGATTGGGCCTCCGGCCACCTGCACTCACCAGACGAAACGCAGAAGCAGAGTTTCTACTTCACGCCGGTATTCTGTGAGGTCGTGGTACCAACCCGGCTCGAGCCAGCCCATACGTGCAACAGCATAAACTGCCGCGTGGCTTTACCACCGTTATATTTTTACAGTGGATGAAATCCATCCCAAGATAACTACATAAATGGTAAAAACTTTCACGTGGATTGGTGATCATAACATCAGAAGTCTGGCACCTTTCACTCGGCTCTCCATCGTCAGTCTGGATATTTTATATCTAGTACATAAGAGAATAGGATAATCGTTAGAGGACCCATAGTACTGCGTTCAATGACCTCAATAGTATCCCCAAAAGAGACCTTAAGATTAACACGGACAAGACAAAGATCATTTCTAATGTCTGTGTCAATTATTTGCCGGTAGTTGGTGGTAACACTGCGCTGGAAGTTGCTGATGACTATGTTGACCTAGGACAAATTGTCCGATTAGGTAAATATAACTTCGACCCAGAGGCAAATCGACTGCTCCATTTTGGCGTTCGGGAGATTAATTATTATAACTTAAAAATGATCTTTCTACGTCGTAGACCCATACTGCCGCTAGATTATACTAACATTTCTTGTATATCTACAAATAAGTAGCCATCGTTAGCTAAGTTAAGCCCTGGGAACTACCCTACTCTTCCTGAGCGTGGGTGCTCAGGCTGCACCACGTATTACGTGAATGGTGGGGGGAGAGGGGGGGGGGGGCAAAGTTGCCACTTACCTACCATCTACCGCCACCATTCGCTACTATCTGGAGATGGCGATCATCACTGACGATTTCAGATGATGCATACTGTGGGAAGTCATAATAGTGTGGACTTTTGTATGCAGAGCGTTCAGTTCGGTCTGAGTCCACCTGAGTATGCCAAAGGTATACATGATAACAGGCATGATCCAACCGTTATATGCGTGTGTATTATTAATACCCGACAATAGACTGTTAAGCACTTTTGTTAAGCGTGCATAAAACACATCTCATACTGACTGTTTCATGTCCGCCTCATCAATACTTATGTTTTGTGACATAACTAGGTATCGGTATGTTTCAGCCTCGGATAGGGTCTTTATGTTGATGGGCATAGATAAGTCTATGCACTCAAAGTTAGCAACCCTACCCCTTTCGACATGGAGGACCGCACACTTATCCGTCCCCAGCTCCTCCAGTAAGGTACTGAGAGGGTTCGGAGACAGGCAGAACCAGATTGGACTCAAACAATCGCCCTGGAAGATACCCCTTCTTATCCTTATGTGGTTCTCCGCATCCTTCCTCCGCTCGCCTAGATAACAAAGGATCGTACTCCACAGCCCCATACACTGCCCGAGGAAGTCTCGAACTGTACAGTTAACCTTGTACAGTTTGAGGACCCTCTTCAGCCATGTATGAGGTACCGAGTCGAATGCCTTTTTATAGTCTATCCAGGATACGGAGAGGTTCAGACGGTTGCGTTTAACCACCTTGACCGCGTCAATGAGGAGTGGTTCCTTGGTTCCACGACCACTGCCCCGACATCCATTTTGGGCGCCCGACATCACCTGATTCGAGTTCAGGTGACGAGTGATTCTCGCGCTCAAAATGGATGTTAGTGTATTGTATATGGTACATAGACACGTTATGGGACAGTATTTGCTTGGTTCTGTGAAATCTCGGTCTTTAGGAATCAAATGAGTGATCCCAGTAGTAAAGAGACTCGGGAGCAACTTTTGGTCGAGAGCCTCTTGAAACTGTTGGGCGAGCGAAGCGTGACACACCACTAACCTCTTCAGCGAGTAGTGATGAGTTCCATCGAGTTCCGGACTTTTCCATTTCGGGACCTTACGGACCGCCTCAGCTACGTCATCCAGTGTTATGATGACTGTGTCCATGGGCGTAGCATTCACATACAGATCGCCACAACCTGACTCGCCATGGCTCTACCACTTTTTACGTGGTAGAGCCATGCTGCAGCTATATTACTGGTAAAGTTGTAGTACGAATGGGTCGGCTCGACCGGGGAAGGACCACGCTCTCACAGAATACTAGCGTAAAATAGCAGCATAACCCTGCTGTGTTTCGTATGGTTAGTGTAGAGAACCGGAAACCCTTTTTTACTGGAAATGAGGCTTTCCATTTTGGTCCTCACGGGTGACAACGCATCTGCATTTTGATTCATAAACGAGGATAGATGTAGATGTCTATGGGTCACAGCAACCACTTACCATCAGGTGGACTATGTGCTCGTTTGTCACCCTAATTCTATAAAAAAACAAAAAAACCTCCGTTCAAGGGCCCTCGCTGTGGCCCACAGGCGTTGGTCGAACTAGGTCAAACGCCTTTGATAGGTCCAGGTAACAAACAAATACAGGCGTCTTCCTTGCTGTGTAATACTGGACAGTCTGCTTGAGACACAAAATATCAGTCTCGGTGGAAAGACCTGGTCTAAAACCAAATTGAGCATCATTAAACGAGATGTGCTTATCCACTAACCCGCCCGTTAAGCAAACTCTCCAGTACCTATCGATATACGATCACTTAAGCAAGGGAAAAAGGCCTATAGTTGGACACGTCAAAGGCATCACCAGTCCTGTTTTTTGGAATAGGAATAACAATAGTTCGCACCAATTTGTCAGGGAAATATGAATGCCCAATACACAAATTAAACAACAAAGACAAAACCCTTGGCAAATGAACTCCAGCATTCTGCAGGTGTTCGATGCTGTCATGCTGTCATGCCCTGGCGACTTTCCCCTCACCATGCACTTAACGACTTTAGCTACATCTTTGGCGGTAGAAAATACACTAAGCTTCAGACTACCTTTTTTTTTTACAGGGAAATCCTCATGGACTACCTCCGCCTGGGGAAAGGCGGAGGGGCGTGCCGGACTCTTACCGGCTAAAACCACCCCGGTGTCTCCTCGCACGTGCGCGTGGGGCCGCGGGAATCCAAATTCTTCCGCAGCCCCACACTAGTGCTGGCCCGGTCTGTCCGGGCCTCGTCTCCTGCACGGGGTAGTGAGGTGTTCAACTACCCCGTGTATCGCCTCAGGGGCGCACGCCGACGCCCGCGCGCGCCTTCGCCTCAGGTCCATCGAATAGGGGTGGCGGGGGCTTCCCCAAGTCCCTCGCCCCTGGACCCATTCATGGGGGCCGAAAAAGGGCGTTGTCCCTTCTCCTGCGCCCAGTGCGCCTTCTGCGGCCGGGGAAAGGAGTCGAGATCTCCCTTTCCCGTTCCGCAGTTTCCTTCTGTGATATCACGTCCTCGCAGAAGGACACCACCGCGTCCCACGACTCTGCACTACCGACCATCTTCCGCATTAAGACCGGCAGCGACAGATCGCCTCCTACTTTATTTGTGAGGACACGGCGCTGCTTCTCCCAAGCTACACACTCGGCGAGCGTGTGTTGCGCCGTGTCCTCCCCGCCCCCTGGACGCAGTGGTGGCACCGAGCGTCCGGCTCCCTGTCTATGCGGCACAGGTACCTGCCGAAGCAACCATGTCCCGACAGCACTTGCGTCACCCTGAACGACCTGTGCCGCATAGACCTTTGCCTTCTCCCGAGCCAGTCGTCGAGTACTGGCCGGATCGCCTCGACGGTAGCGAGGCTGGCGGTAGGGCGCGGAAGCCTTTGCAGCCATTCCGCCACCTGCACCGGCCTCGATCCCCGTGCCTGCTCTTCCTCGCGCCATCGATATAATGACGCGAGTACTTTCGCCTCTAGGTCCCAGGGTAATTCACAATATCACAAGCTCCTGAAACACTCACGGGAAGGCTCGAATCATGATTCATTTTATTGGTGACTCTCCAAAACTGACCAAAGTTCTTTCTTTTGTCGTGTTCAGCTATTATGTATATTTTTTTTATGCACCTTATTTTGGCACCAATTTAATTTCGCTTTAAAAATGTGTTTCGATTCACACATTTCATTATAGGCGTAACCAGTGTCCATCTGTCCCAATCACCAAACGGTATTCGCTGAAGGTCATACAGGTTTACGTACCAACCTCGGCACACCCCGACGAGGAGGTGGAGGAAATGTATGAGGATATATCTAGAGCCATGCATTCCTCCAAAACCCACTATACGGTGTTAATGGGAGACTTCAATGCAAAACTAGGCACAAGAGAGAACGGTAAGCTGAAAGTAGGGAAATTTGGAATAGAGCAACGGAACCCAAGGTCCCAGCAGCTGGCCGACTTCATGGAGAAAGAGGGACCTTTTATGATGAACTCTTTCTTCCAGAAGCGGCCCCCCAGGTAGTGGACCTGGTCGAGCCCCGACGATTCGACACAAAATGAGATTGACTTCTTTATGACGACCAGACGACAACTGTTCAGTGATGTCTCCGTGATCGGGAGGGTGAAAACTGGTAGCGATCACCGAATGGTTAGAGGCACACTGAACCTAAACATTAAGTTGGAGAGGTCTCGTCTAATGAAGTCAACGTTCCGTACCCCTCGTGCTCTGTTCCAAAGTCCCGAAACCATTCAGCTCGAGTTACAAATCCGTTTTCAGTGCCTAGAAGACTGCAATGAAGTGGACGATATAAATGATAAGCTCGTGGAAACTGTCCATGTGGTCGGAGCTAAGTTCTGCAAGACCCGCCGCAGAAGAACACAAAAACTATCCGATCACACTCTTAATCTCATGGTTGTTAGACGAGACATGAAGCTACATTCTTCAACAGATTTGACAGCATACAGGCAACTGAACAGACAGATCTCCAAATGCATGCGGCGGGACTTACGCAACTTCAATACAGCTTGTATTGAAGGAGCAATCGAGCGGAACCAAGGCTCCAAAGTCTTTGCACGAGATCTGTCTGCCAGAAAGAGCCAACTGTCAAAGCTTAAGCCCGAATGTGGCAGCATCGTTTCCGGGACACCTGAGATTTGAGTGAGATTGAGAGGTTCTATGGGCAGCTGTACATGTCATCGTTGGAACCGCACGCAAGTGTGAGTAACGATCCAAGAGCGAGTCTTATCCAAAATTATTCCGAAGATATCCCGGACGTCAGTCTGAGCGAGATTAGAATAGCTCTCCAGCACCTTAAAAACGGAAAGTCCCCGGGGAGGATGGAATTACAGCGGAGCTTTTGAAAGCGGGTGGAAAACCGGTACTTGAAGTCCATCAGAAGCTCTTTAATTCCGTCCTCCATGGTGGCACTACTCCGGAGGCGTGTAGCAGAAGTGCGGTGGTCTTGTTCTTCAAGAAAGGCGATAACGCTCTCTTGAAGAACTAAAGGTCGATTTCCCTTCTAAGCCGCATCTACGTGCTGTTTTCGAGAGCCATTACGAATCGTCTCGCACGTAGACTTGACGACTTCCAGCCTCCTGAACAAACCGGTTTCCGAAAAGGCTTTAGTACCATCGACCACGTACACACCCTTCGCCAAATTATACAGAAGACAGAGGAGTATAATCTGCCACTTTGCCTTGCGTATGTGGACTATGAGAAAGCCTTTGATTCCGTCGAAATTTGGGCGGTGCTGCAGTCCCTTCAGCGGCGCAAAGTTGACTGTCGGTATATCGAAGTGCTGAAGTGCTTGTACAATAGAGCTACGATGGCTATCCGAGTACAGAATCAGAGTACGAAACCTAACCAACTGCAGAGAGGTGAAAGACAGGGCGACGTTATATCCCCGAAACTCTTCACCGCTGCATTGGAAGACGTTTTCAAGCTGCTGGACTGGAAAGGATGCGGTATCAACATCAATGGCGAGTACATCACTCACCTTCGATTTGCCGACGATATAGTCCTATAATCCTATAGTCCTGAATAGTGTCTCGATTGACCTCTCGGTCGAAGTTGGACTTACCTAGTCGGACTATTTGTCCCAGGTAAACATACTCGTCAACAACTTCGAGCTTAGTGTTCCCAACAACTACCGGCATAGGTGTGACATGGATATTAAACATGATCTTTGTTTTGTTCATGTTCATCTTAAGACCTATCCGTTGGGAAACACTATTGAGGTCATTAAGCATAGTGCTTAGGTCCTCCAGCGATTCTGCCATAAGGACTATATCGTCGGCAAATCGAAGGTGAGTGATGTACTCGCCATTGATGTTGGTACCGTATCCTTTCCAGTCCAGAAGCTTGAAAACATCTTCCAATGCAGCGGTAAAGAGTTTCGGGGATATGACGTCACCCTGTCTTACACCTCTCTGCAATTGGATAGGTTTCGTACTCTGGTTCTGTACTCGGATAGCCATCGTAGCCCTACCGTACAAGCACTTCAACACTTCGATATACCGACAGTCAACTTGGCATCACTGAAGGGACTGCAGCACCGCCCAAATTTCGACGGAATCAAAGCTTTCTCATAGTCCACATACGCCAGACATAGTGGCAAATTGTACTCCTCGGACTTCTGTACAATTTGCCAAAGGGTATGTATGTGGTCTATGGTACTAAAGCCTTTTCGGAAACCGGCTTGTTCGGGAGGCTGGAAGTCGTCAAGTTTTGTGTTTTCGTCGTGCTTTGTGGCATTCTTTGGGGGAGGCCTATGTTCAGCAGTGGACTTGTGAAGGGCTGTAATGATGATAATGATGATGATGATGTTTATACAATCTGTCAAGCAATATTTTGTGTTGATGGTCCACTACACATACTATCGCAACATTTCGAAAATTCTGCTGGAAAATCTATTAATTTTAACCTGGGGTTACATTCATTATAATATTTATCAATTTGATCATTACCACGCTCTTTCCATATGATTTTATTAATACAGTTATTCGACTGAGCTAATTTGGGTGTTACAATATTGAAATCACACTCTATCAATACAGGAAAGTGATCGGACCAGTATATGTCATAAAGAATACATGCAGAAAGTACAGTGGGCCACAACATGGTGCGTTCACCTTAAACTACCATGCGCAT